TTTTGGGGTGATTTTGGGCACTTTGGGACCCCCGCAGCACGTCCGGAACAGCCGCGGCTCCAACAAGTACGAGGGGTGGCCGCAGGCGCTGGAGCTCGGCGGCTGCGTCCCCCAGCGGCCCCCGGGGTGACCCCAAAAACCGGGGGGACCCCAAAACATCCCGGGGGGACCCCAAAACATCCCGGGAACCCCAAAACATCCAGGGGGACCCCAAAAACCGGGGGGGGACCCGAAAACATCCCGGGGGGACCCCAAAACATCCCGGGAACCCCAAAAACATCCCGGGACCCCAAAACATCCCAGGGGACCCCAAAACCCGGGGGGACCTCAAAATCATCCCGGGGGGACCCCAAAACATCCCGGGGGGACCCCAAAACATCCCGGGAACCCTAAAACATCACGGGGGGACCCCAAAACCCGGGGGGACCCCAAAACATCCCGGGGGGACCCCAAAACCCGGGGGGACCCCAAAAACATCCCGGGAACCCTAAAACATCTTGGGGGATCCCAAAAACATCCCGGGAACCCCAAAACATCCCGGGGGGACCCCAAAACCCGGGGGGACCCCAAAACATCCCGGGAACCCCAAAACATCCCAGGGGGACCCCAGAAACCGGAGGGGGGACCCTAAAAACATCCCGGGAACCCCAAAAACGTGCCAGGGGGACCCAAAAACCCGGGGGGGACCCCAAAACATCCCGGGGGGACCTCAAAACTCACAGAGATCCCAAAAAACCCACAGAGACCCCTCAGGGACCCCGAAAACCCCACAGAGACCCCAAAGCACAAAGTGGGGGACCCCAAAATACACAGGGACCCCAAAAACCCCACACAGCGACCCCAAAACTCACAGAGACCCCAAAACCTCCCGGTGGGGACCCCAAAACTTCCCAGTGGGACCCCAAAATACACAGAGACCCCACAGAGACCCCAAAAACCCCACAGAGACCCCAAAAACCCCACGCAGGGACCCCAAAACTCACAGAGACCCCAAAATACACGGAGACCTCACAGAGACCCCAAAACTTCACTCAATGACCCCAAAACCCGGGGGGACCCCAAAACTTCCCAGTGGGACCCCAAAAACCCCACAGAGACCCCAGAAGGACCCCAAAATCCACAGGGGGCACCCCAAAATTCACAGAGACCCCAAAAACCCCACAGGGACCCCAAAACATCCCAGTGGGACCCCAAAAACCCCACAGAGACCCCAAAAAACCCGCAGAGACCCCCTCAAGGACCCCAAAATCCACAGGGGGCACCCCAAAACTCACAGAGACCCCAAAACATCCCGGAGGTACCCCAAAACTCACAGAGACCCCAAGGGACCCCAAAACCCCCACAGAGACCCCCTCAAGGACCCCAAAATCCACAGGGGGCACCCCAAAACTCACGGGGACGCCAAAAACCCCTCATGGACCCCAAAATGTCCCAGAACCCCCCAAAGCCGAGGATTTGGGGTCCCCCCGGTCAGATTTGGGGTTCCCTGGTCAGATTTGGGGTCCCCCGGTCAGATTTGGGGTCCCCCGGGCAGATTTGGGGTTCCCCGGTCAGATTTGGGGTCCCCTGGGCAGATTTGGGGTCCCCCCGGATCTTTCGGGGGTCCCAAACCCCCGCTACAAACCCGGGCCGGGTTTTGGGGCGCTCGGAGCCGTTTTGGGGGTTCGGGGTGAAATTTTGGGGGGTCCCAAATTCCCCCCTCCCCCTCCCCGGCTCCTTGGGCAGGGGCGGGGCGAATGCAAATGAGCGGGCGGTAATTAGCATGATAAACGAGAGGGGCGGGGTTATGCTAATGAAGCGGCGGTTGGAAACGAGGCGGGGCAAATGCAAATAAAGGAGTGCGGTCGGCCAATCACGATGCGAGCTGGGGGAAGCGATGGGCGGGGCTAAGAAAAGGGCAGCGGGTGGTTATTTGCATAAAGGGGCGTGGCTATGGAAGAACAGCGGCTGGGTATTTGCATAAAGGGGCGTGGCTAGGCAAGAACCGCCGGTGGATATTTACATAAAGGGGCGTGGCTAGGGAAGAACAGCGGGTGTTTATTTGCATAAAGGGGCGGGGCTACAAAAACCAGCGGGTGGATATTTGCATAAAGGGGCGGGGCTACAAAAACAGCTGGTTGATATTTGCATAAAGGGGCGGGGCTACGAAAAAGGCGTGTTGTTATTTGCATATAGGGGCGTGGTTAGGGAAGAACAGCAGGTGTTTATTTGCATAAAAGGGGCGGGGCTACAAAGAAGCCGTGTGGTTATTTGCATAAAGGGGCGGGGCTACAAAACCAGTGGGTGTGTATTTGCATAAAGGGGCGTGGTTAGGGAATAACAGTGGGTGTTATTTGCATAAAGGGGCGGGGCTATGTATATTTTCTGCGCCGCCAGGCGCGCAGTGCATGCTGGGAGGATTTTTTTGGGGAGAATTTCGGCATTTTTGGGTGCGGTGTGAGGGGACCGGGCCGGTGCGGGGGCCGGGATCAGGCGCAGGGTCCGTTCTCACCAGCTCAACACCCGACACGCCCTCGATGGCAGCGCTCCCCGTTAAACGGAATTTCGGGCGCCGGAGCCGGAGCCGGAGCCGGAGCCGGAGCTCCCTCCGCTCCGCGCAGCGTCCCGGCATCGAGAGGGTGAAAAAGAGATGAAAAAATGGCTGATGTCGTGATTATATCGCGATTATATCGTGATTATATCGCGATTATATCGTGATTATATAGTGATTATATCGTGATTATATCGTGATTATATCGCGATTATATCGCGATTATATCGTGATTATATCGCGATTATATCGCGATTATATTGTGATTATATTGTGATTATATCGCGATTGTATCGCGATTATATCATGATTATATCGTGATTATATCGTGATTGTATCGTGAGAGCGGCCACAGCGTCCCGGGACTGCAGTCCATGGAAGGGGAAAACAGAACCTGTGAGGGCGATGAGGGAGGAAATGGTGACGATAATTAAATCAATCATCATCAAATGATGTCCGAGAGGGGGATGAGGGAGGAAATGGTGACGATAATTAAACAAATCATCATCAAATGATGTCTGTGAGGGCGATGAGGGAGGAAATGGCGCCTGGGAGGGGTTTGAGGGGCACCTGAGGGGGAAATGATGCTCACCTGGGCACAGCTGGGCTCACCTGGGCTCACCTGGGCACAGCTGGGCTCACCTGGGCTCACCTGGGCACACCTGGGCACAGCTGGGCACACCTGGGCTGACCTGGGCACACCTGGGCACAGCTGGGCTCACCTGGGCTCACCTGGGCACAGCTGGGCTCACCTGGGCTCACCTGGGCACAGCTGGGCACACTTGGGCACAGCTGGGCTCACCTGGGCACAGCTGGGCTCACCTGGGCTCACCTGGGCACAGCTGGGCTCACCTGGGCACAGCTGGGCACACCTGGGCACACCTGGGCTCACCTGGGCACAGCTGGGCTCACCTGGGCTCACCTGGGCACACCTGGGC